TGGGAAGCAGCCGGTCACTGCCACAGTCGAGAGCAGAGAGAAGCCCATGCCTGCTGCGTGTGGCTCGGCCAGCTTTCTCAATTCTCATACAGTCCAGGCCCCCAAATGAGAGGAAGGTGGCTCCCCACTCTCGGGGGGATCTCCCCTCACAGTTAACGAAATGAAGACAACCCCGTACAGATATGTACACAAGCCAACCTGCTCTAGACGATGTCTTACTGAGGCTCTTCCCAGGAGACGGACTGTATCAAGCAGACAGTTAAACTTACCGTCACACCCAGCATTCACAGAGACAAGAAAATCTACTAAAGGTGATTCTAAGTTACACAGCAAGTTGAAGCCAACCTGGGCTACGTGAGACCATGCACGTAGAGAGGGGGAAAAGCTCAATTTCTGGGAAGGCTGAAGCCACACGCACCAGTTCAGTCTTTGGATGGCATTACATGGCAGCCGTCTACAAAGTTTCCACTCAAGAGCTGTGCAGTTGAGCTCCTCCCACAAAAATCACAAAAGCACCTCTTAATGATGCTTTAAGTAGGTTTATGACTGGGCTGGGCCATGTTCCTAGCTATCCTTAGCTGTCAGAGCTGACACCAAGCCATGTTATTTGGAAGGCTCTGAGAATCTGACTAAAGTGGAGCATGCACTCCTGATCTCACCTTTTATCAGCCCCTCGAGCCCACTCTGGGCCCTGACTCTGACCTCATCGTCCTGGTTTTAATTAGCCGAGCAGCGACTTGCTGGATCTGTGGTGCTGGATATAACCTGGAAAGGCTGTGTTCTTTCTCCACGAGAGTCGTAATTGCCACCCTGGTTTCCCAGCAATCTCCTCTCTTTTCTTCTTTATTTCCTATTGAGAAAGGGACTTACACTGAGCGGTTTGGGTTGAAGTCACACGCCCAGCTCTTCTCTAAATAGAAAGCCTACCTCCCTGCAGGCTTGATTCCAGAATTAAAGGGACACATGTACAGCACTTTCTTCTGGTTCTCTCCACCTCTCCACCTGGGGGGTCACTGGCCAACTAGGCTAGCGGAAATGGTGAGCTCCAGGCTAAATGAGAGATCCTGTCTCAAAAAAATAAGGTAGAGGGCTACAGGATGGCTCAGCAGTTGACGTCTCTTGTCGCCACTGCAGAGGACCCGAATTCTGTTCAGTACCCACACTAAGAGGCTCACAATCGCCTCTAAATCCAGCTCCAGGACCCAGTGCCCTCCTTGGACTCCACAGACACCTTCACTCACATGCAGACAAACACATATACCCTTTATTTTAAAAAATAATAAAAATAAGCCGGGTGTTAGTGACACACACCTTTAATCCCAGCACTTGGGAGGCAGAAGCAGGCAGATCTCTCTGAGTTCGAGGCCAGCCTGGTCTACAAAGCGAGTTCCAGGTCAGGATCCAAAGCTACACAGAGAAACCCTGTCTTGAAAAATCTAATAATAATAATAATAATAATAATAATAATAATAATAATAATAATAAATCTTAAAACA